CAAAAAATTAGGTGCAAAGTATCATGGCTTTTCCCTAGCTTTCTAGAAGCAAGTTCCATATTTAGGAAAGTAAATTGTAAAATAAAATATACCCAATAAGAAAACAAATTTTTCTAAAAATATCCTCAAGCACACAAGCACAAGTCGACCCCATTGCTCAATGGATTGATGAGAAGGGACAGGAGGTAGTTGCCCTTTCTAACGTCACCTCATGCACCAACCTCTACCAACCATGCATACAAACTCTCTCTCTCTCTCTCTCTCTCTCTCTCTCTCTCTCTCATAGTCATGACTCATGTGCATGTTCTTCAATTTAATTCGAAGCTGGTAGAGTCTATCCTTTTGTGGTTCTTATCATACTGTTGCTTCTTCCACATCGAAGCCCACATGAATGGGTAGGTACGCTCTCCTCTTTGTTTTATGGGTTCATTGTACTTTACCCACAATCATGGTTATAGGGCATCTAATAATTCGGTCTTTACCTTTTAAAGCTGGCAAAATATTACGTTGATTAGCTTTTGGTGTGTGCGAAAAAGAAAATTACCTGATGGTCGAAGTTACGTACGAAGAAAATAGGGTTATGCGGCTGCCTCTCGTTTGGTTTCGTACACAACTCTAGCTACCTTGGTCGCAAATTGAAAAGTCAAACATATGGGCACGAGGAATGAAAGGCTGGATTTCACTTTAATTTCATGTTTTTTATTTAAATTTAGATGTGATTTCGTTTTGACTTCTCAAATTGAAAATTTATAGATAGAACACAACGCATCATTTTAGATCAACAAATTTATCACTTTCGTTCATTTGTTCTTTTTCTTTCTTTTGATAATCTTCACTTTCTTTGTATTCCTCCAATTGATATTGGGAGAGGTCGATTCTACCAGGACATCGAATACAAGAACAACTGCTCTAAACTACTTGAGCTACAAACTCCCTTACTTTATACTCTTATTTTTATAATACAAGTATAGATAGGGGGACTTATTTCTTGCTTCTCCTTTACAACAGGCCTTTGCCATTCGAACCAAATGAAATGTATTCTTATTCTTTACTCATTAGCCTATGAAAATATACTTTAATAAGAAGAACAAAATTATGTACATGCACCTCCTCCTCTCTCTCTCTCTCTCTCTCTAATTTACGTATATGTCAATACTAAAAGCTTTAGAAAAAAAAAATTAGAAAAAAAAGAAGAAGAAGCAATGGTGGATGATGATGGATGATTTACTTATATGCCAGATAACCAAATAACCAATAACCCCCTTACCTTTTAAAAAGGCATCAAATTTGGCTGGCTTAAATCTAAATTCTCAATATTCTCATTAATCCAGGAATCTCATACCTCACTGGATGGCCACATGCATAACCTTCTTCTTCTCTCTTCACTTCTGACTCACCCCACCACCACCACCAAACCCTTAACTAACCAACTGTTTTTATTTCTTTTTCTCCGTTACTATATTCTTATCATATTAATTTTTAATTAGAGATCGGTTACCTACCTTCCAAACATGTCACATGTACATCCTTTTTATTTTTTTTATTTTTTTTTTGTATTGGATGTCACATGTACATCTTGCTTCTCCTTTTCCCCTTCTCTGTCTTCACATGAGATATTTAAATTCATTATCACTCTATTATGCTTTCTGATAACTAAAATATCCTCATCACCACCACCACCAGGACCCACTCTCTTATTGAAACTTTTGGGTAAATGCTGTGTAGTACATGTAATCCTTCTAAAAATTGGCATGCTTGCTAATATTGCTTTTAAAAGGTGAAAATATAAAAATACAAATGACGCACTAGTGTAGTGGTTTAGAGAAAATGTTCCCCAAAGAAAGATTACGGGTTCGAATCTTACAATCCACGTAGTGTGTGTGAGTTTAATATGTTTAGGTCTCAAAAAACTGAGAAATAAAATTGCAAAATCTTATGATTGGAGTAGTCCTCCTTTCATGAGCTGATTTTTGTATTAGAGATCATTTTAATTACTGCTTCCATTTCTATTGGTCATTGTTATATTTTGCAGTACTTTAATTTGGGCTTCTCTTCTTATCTCAGCTGGAAATTGACTGTGATTATAAAGTATTAAAATCCATATTCTTGATCACTCATCTCCTTCGAGCTTCGACTATCAGAACAATCATTCAAGATCTTTGGCAGCTATACTTCTGGATTTTCGTCAAGTTTCGTTAAATCATGCTTATAGGGAAACAAATCAAGTGGTTGATACTTTGGCTAAAAGAGATCATGCATCTTCAGATACTTGTGTTTGGTTAGAAAAAACTATATATTACGATTAAGGGATCCTGAAATAAATTTATTTAAATAATATTTTTATGGGGCTCACTCCGCTCCTATTTCAAAAATCTGAAGCGTTTATGTTTTACGTATTCTCTCAATCATCGCTGCAAAAATCATTTTAACATAAATTACCTAATTACTGAATTAAATGATTGTCATTTTAGTTTGTTTTTTTTTCCTCGAAACACCTTAGTTCATCTATTTTAGATTAATCTACATAAAATAAATCTTATGTCTAACATTAGGGTAGGGACATGTTTCCATCGTTGGTATAGATTTTCCTGCGGAAGCCATTTCCCCAGAGATTATGCCCCCCACCCAAATCAATATAAACTCAATCCTACCAGCTTCAATCTCACACAATCAAATTGTATATAATTGTTTAATGAGTTGGTGTTTCTGGGTGGAGAGAGAGATCCGCCATTCCTGAGACAAGATTCCATATATACACGTGGTTTATATTTCCTTCATTAGTGGTTGGTAGGTCTAACCATTCCCATTCCCATTCCTACGTTTAATCTTGGACTGTCCCAAGGTTCTAGAACTATATTTTTATAATTTAAAGTTTAATTAAACCACGAGAAGCCTTACTTTTTTTTTTTTTCTTTTTTTTTTCCAGTCGGATTTAGACCTTCAAAGGCTAAGAAAATGAAATGAAGGAAATTGAAAAGGACACTCTTAAAAACTTTAGGTAGAATTTAATGTTATTATAGCGTTTAAAAATAAAAAAAATCATGGTAGCTAGCTACTAGCTAGGAACAACGTGTTTAGTTTGCGGGACAAGTCATAATTGTGAAAGTAGATTGGAGGAGGATGCATTTGAATCCAAGACGGCCAAAAAATCACAACTGTTTATTCTATTGATTTTTTTAAAAAATTAAATCCAGCACTGCTGTATGATAATTTATTCCTAATCAAACCTCCATTATCATGGCCTGTCCACACACACCAACAATTTGATGTTATGGCACTAGTGGTCTTAGTCAACGGTCAATGTTTAAAGAAGTAAGTGCTTAATTTTTGTTGGCATCAAACTTTATGGCTTGTTTAAAAGTGTTTTTGAATAGGCCAAAATCACTTATGGGAAGATACACTTCCTACATACTTCTCCAGAAAATTACTTAAAGCGATTATATGAAGAAGTGATTCTTCATAAAAGTGATTATTGTCTTATCCAGAATCACTCCCAAACGAACGTAAAATTTTCACATACTAGTTGCATCACTCGTTGGAAGATCAAACAGCGAAGACGATATATATTTATAATGAATTCGATATCTATTTAATTATAACCACATTGTGATGATGCAAATTGATATAAGTGTACTGTTCCGTTGTAAAAATAAAAATGAATCATTATTTGTAAGCAACCAAGAATTGTTCCTTCTCGACGGCAAAAATATTTATACTTACATGCACATCATAGGAATAGGGCTACAAAAACGAGAAGCAAAAAAAACTAAAAAAATCACGTTTAGATACTCATCCAGATAGGCTTTTAACGGGACACTTCTCATATTCTAATCGTTTGAATAAAAATTCAATGACTAAATTAATAGAAGAAAGTCAATCAATCAACCTAATAATAATAATGAAATTAATATTAATAGAAGGCTTAGAACATGTGAGCATATGCCACATGTCTCTCTCTCTCCATGTGTATGTTGCAACGTGACTGTGCAATTATGTCATCCTAAATATATAGTTTTATGCAAGACGGTAGATGCCAAGCTAGTTAGGTGGGTGATAAAATAAATAAATAAATCATCACTCAGACTCAGGTGGATGGTAGGTTTTTGAGAATATGATACACCAAATAATTCAAGTCAAAGAAAACAAGATACGAGAAAAAGAATATGGTATCACCATTGCCAATCTTTACCTAAATCTACCCAAAACTGGTTACATAAAAGTCAGGTTGATCCATATATACCAGAGAAGAAAGTTAGTCTGGTTGTTTATTTTAGCAAGTGGGATTGGACTGATTGATTGACAAGCTTATATTCCTAATTGCGCAAAGGTAGGACTCGCCAGGTTGGAATCATTGGTCTTAAATTGAACTAATGGAGAAGGTATGGTGCTATAAAAAAATATGATCGGACTATGATATAGTGTCACGTAATGTTATTAGTCGACTTATATTATTAAAATTATACTTTAAATTCGTCAATCATTACCTGGTATTGATAATTTCGTGTAGCATTGTTACGGTCAAATACAGAATTTCTCGGTAAGTATCTATAACAAGTTAATTTTTAACAAAACAGCCCTTATTATGTCCCACAGAAATTGACACTTCCTCCAACTGTTTCTGATTGATGTTATGGAAGTCAAGCACCCGAATAATGCCGGTTGCCAAACACAAATTACAGCTCACTATAGAGAGAGAGAGTTTGGCAGAAATTATCCATACGTTGTGTGCATCAAATGCACATGTAGGATGGATAGTCTTTGCACATGCGACAAGTTTTAAATATAGCCAAACCTCATCAGCTTTGGCGACCCTACATCTCAAATTTCAAATGAAATATTGAGTGAACTCATCAAATCTCTAATTTCAATGATAAATTGTACAGAGACAAAATTCAAAACGGAAAAAGTGAAATCAGATGCAAATAATTATTAAATAGTACTAAAATACGATCACCTAATTCAACCGGTTCACGTGTTATAATTTGAATAGTCAGTTCGCATGTTATAATATGAATAGACGATAGTATTTCATTATAATATACTTGTTCCATGATAACACTATAATTACTCGTACAACAAGAGTTACATCCAGAAAGTAATGGATTCAAGTGAAGGTAACAACAACTATACCAAATCTATAAGATTTATCAAAAGAAAAAAAGAATTTAACCCCAAAAGGAGTAAAAACCATGCTATGAATTCAAAGGTCTGTGAAATCTGTAGAACCCATTTGTGCACTGACAATTCCTGCAAGCCTCACTGCTCTGAAATCCAACCTGACAACACAAACACACCGCCTGAGTCACCACCGCCTTCTGCACTGTCCCAAAAACCTGGTAATTATTCTGCTGCAGTCTTGACTCGGCCGAGTTCCCCGACGAAGCCCGAGTTGGCTCGGACTGGAAGGGCTCCAGCCCAATTGAAAGATCCAAGTTGAGGTCACTACACTTGTACATATAATGATCTTGCAATTTCTGCTGTTGCTGTTGTTGTTGTTGTTGTTGGTCTTCCTGTGTGGTGGTCCCACTGCTGGCCTCTTCTATGTTGTCCTCTTCCATCTTGGGCTTGAACAATACAATATTGTTGTTGTGGTTGTTGTTGTTCGAGGAGGTTTTGTTGATGGTTTTGTGATGCAATATGGAATTTTTGTTGGTGGTTTTATCGACGACGGCGGATAGCGGAGAAATGTTTCTGAAATCTAAGCGAGAAGCATGTGTCGTGGCGGCCGCGGCGGCGGTTGTGGTGTCGTTGAGCGGACGGTGGGTTTGAGGGTCGAGGCCGCGGCTGATGAGCTTCCGCTTGATGTGTGTGTTCCAGTAGTTTTTTATTTCGTTGTCGGTTCTTCCCGGCAATCGCCCCGCAATCAACGACCACCTAAAAACAACAAACCAAATTACAATTAATAAGAATGACAATTGACTTTTCCAACGATCATTTCGTCTAGTAAGAAAATTCTGACGAAACCAATAAGAATGATCATTGAATGATCATTTCGTCTCGGTTGAAGGAGGTTCTGAGTTCAAATCTCATGACGAAATCTCGTAGTTGTATAAAAAGAGAAGTAGTTAAGATTGACAAAGTGATTTCCGAACAATAATTTTCCCAGCAACAAACCAACCAACAAAGAAAAGTGTGCCATGAATAAGATTACATACTTGTTTCCAAGTAAGCTATGGAGCTTGATGATGAGCTCATCTTCTTCTTCTGTGAAATTTCCACGCTTGAGGTCAGGGCGAAGGTAGTTTATCCATCTCAGCCTACAGCTCTTGCCGCACCTAAGCAACCCTACAGGCATTAATTCCACACAAAAATAAGTACAAATTCAATTAATTTAAGCAAAACTAAATCATGGGTTATAATTAAGTACATATGAAACAGTATTATATATATAGATAATTGAATTTAAAGATTTGAAAATATATATATACCTGCGGCTTTGGGGAGGGAGCGCCAGCAGCCTTCGCCATGGACGCGGATGTAATCGATGAGGCGCTGGTCTTCTTCTTTGGTCCAAGCGCCTTTGTTGGTGTGAGCTTTCTCACAGCAAGGTGACCTCCCCATCAAATTTTTTGTTCCTGTTCTTGTTCTTGTTCTTCTTGTTGCTGCTTAATTTTTGTAATGATTAATTAAGAAATCAGATTGAACAGAAGACAACAGAACTGCAATGGAAGAGAGAGATTGTGATATATGTAGCAAACAGTGAGTTGTTATATGGATAAGTAGGACTGGTTTTTTTGTGGTGTTTTGTCTGTACCCGTTTTGAAAGAGCTGAAAAGGATAAGAAGAGAAAGACCAGTACAATTCAGAACAGAGAAAGAGAGAGAGTTTTCGTTTTGTTGAAATTTTGGGAAGAAAGAGATTTATATGTACAAAGGGTGGGGATGATGAGAGAGAGAGGGAGAGAGAGATTAATGAGGAGAGTTGAGGTGGGGAGGGAAGGATTTGACCGAGTTGGTGAAAATGACGAGTGGTTAGTGGTTGCAGATAGGGCTGGATTTTGGTAGGTAGCTCTACTTTTACGTCACATTCGGCCCCTTTGTGGGCTCTCTTTTTCTCTCTCTCTAATGTCAGGATTCAAAAATCAGACTTCCTTTTTTTGTTTGGTATAAGAGTTCCGTTATTAACATTCGCTTTAGCGTGCGTGAGTGATTGTAATCGTAAATTAAGTCGTGATTGTATCATAAGATCTATTCTCATTAGATGCATATTCGAACGATTGTTTTTAGCTTTCTATATTAGTAAGAGAAGAAAAAAAAGGAAACCACGGGAATTCTAAATCAATGTCCAAACTCCAAGTAGGAAACTATCTCATTCGTCATTTCCATGTGGCTTAAAGGGACACACAACGCAACATTAGGACAATTGCCTGCCTACCAATTTCCTGCTGGCTGAGGTTTCCTTAGTTGGCTTATGGTGGTGCCTTACTCGAGGGCATATTTGTCTTTTAGCTTAAGACCACATGATCTTATCTACATAAATATATACCATTAAAAAAAATTAATGAAAATTAAACTTTTACGAATTAAAGAGGGATTTCCGAGTCATATTTTAGGCGGTTGCTTATCCAATCCATCCTCATAGTATTCTCAAAAGCATTATCAAAGGTGCTCTAAAAAGGTATTTTCTTGTCAAAGGAGGATTGAAAAAGGGGCTCAAGTGAATATTGGAAGGGCGGGTAGGGATATGATAAGGTAAAAAAGTACGTGTGTTTTTGTCTAGTTGTAGCCAAGTTCAATGGAAAACTTTAAGAAGGAAAAAAAAAAAAAAACTTTATGAAGATAAAAAAGAAAGAAAACCAGGTGGAGCTCACATGCCAAGGTGATTCTATGTAAACTAACAAAAATATTTCTGTCCAACCTTTTTTTCATAAAAAAATGAAAAAAAGAAAAAAAGCTAATGCACTTGTCTAAAAGCCTTAGCTCAGGTGACATGTGATTAGGGGTAGGTCTCAATCTGGTTGAACCGACTAAATTGATTGACCTAAACTGTAGTAACTGGTTTGATTTGATTTTAAATCGGGCCGTAATAATTCGGCTACAATTTTGAGCCGGAATGTTATGAAGAGACAGTGCAAGGTAAGGAATCAATCAAGCGGGAGATGAGATAAACTTCCACTAAACTCCCAAAGACCAAAAGAACACCTACAGAAACAAATGGGTTTATATATTGGATCAAGGAAGAAGCTTATTGTGCAAATGGGTTTCAACAAAAGGAGGGACATGATTACACAAAGAAAGATATTTTCACCATTTGTGAAGCTAACCACAATCAGCTGGTTGGTGCTAACTAGAGTGGGGACACATATGTAACCTTTATTGAGAAGTATTACTGAGACCAGTTGATGTTTCAACTTTCAAAGGCTTGCTAATGTCTTTTTCCACTCCATTAACTTTCTGATATAAACCTGAAATACAAAACCCAGAATCTAAAACCAAGATGCTCAACCCTAGACCCAATACCAATGTCGTTTTGGACAAGAACACATTCTACATAAATAAATAAAAACATTAGTAAAATATCCTATTCCATTTTCAGCAATAAAAAAATGTCAACTAAATTAGAGAAATAAAAGAAGGAAACAATTGGTCCTTGCCGAGTGGGGACACAAAAATAAGGGCAGCATACAGTACCTCAATGGAATATCAAAGCATACCGACAATCCGATCACCAAAGGAAAGGAGAGAATTTAATTACTGCAAAAGAATTTTCCCTTGATCCGTTATTGTACATGTACAATGAATTTTGAGTAACAAACTACCAAGTCGCAGAGTAAACCAACCAAAAAAATCAATACCTTAGGATACAGTTCCCTCTACTCAAATGAAAGAAAATTTCACAACTTATTTGAATGATACACTAATTTTCTAAAATGACAATTGAATGATACACTAAATTACAGATGAACAAAAAAATTTATAACCCTAGTGAATAATTTTATGTATTGAAATCAGTCTTGTTTGTTGTGTTACTGTTTTCGTTTCTAGCTTCTGCTTCTTTAAACATACAATCTGGCATGGGAAATGTATATAGTGATGCACTGGGTTTTTTCAGTTCAACACCCTTTTGGTCACTATGGCGAAGCATGTCTTGCACCTGTTTTTTGAAATCTTCCCATCTGCAAAATAAGAAATGTCGATGAACAAACATGTAAAGTTGCTTGTATAAGCTGCTTTATACTGAAAAATGAGGCTGTGAATGAACAGATCAACAAGAAGTCATTGGAGGTAAAACAAATTGCATACATGTTTGTTTGTTTATGTGCTTAAACTTCCATTATTTGCCCCTCTTATTATCCGCTAATGTAATCTTTATACAACTAATTTCTCTTATATAATTTGAAATCGACAACCATAACAAACCCATTACAGTGAATCCTGAGGTTCTCAAAGTTAACAAACATCAAACAGATGACAATGCACATTCCTAGCCTACCACAAAACAAAAAGTTGAACGGTAGAACTATGATTTTTGTATTCTCAATCGAATTTTAATATCTGTAATATGCACTAATTTAAAATGTAGAAAGACGAAAAACTGTTATTAGTTATCACTACCCCCATGTTGTAGCTTATTCAACAGATCAATACAAATGTAACTGGACAGTTCAACCACATTTTACCTGATACTGGGATTATCAAACAACAGCGCTAATTTTCTTTTATCAGGGTTAATTGTCTTTGAATGTCCACCATAGAGATACCGCCTGTGACCCATCAAGAAGTGGGGAAAATTTCCACCCTGAGTGGTGACAAATACTTCACTGTGAAGGCAAACCGTGTAATCAAGAGCAGCCAATCTAGATAAGTGGCCCTACATCAGAAATGTTGGCATGGAAAAGATTAACTTGACACTAACCCAATGGACCTACCGTAGAGATGGCATAATAAATATATCACTACTTTCAAGCTAATGCTTGCTTTTGTTCTCTGCGAATGCAAATAACATGCCTCATATGGTACCTGAAAAGGAGCAAGTTCTTCTGCAGTAGCCAGTGTGTCCTTCATTTCCAAGCGTGGAAACATCTGTTTAAGAGGAGCCATGTACTTCTCTGCTTTATAAATTTTTCCTGCTGCTATGTATACTGAGGTGGTATTATCAAATCCCATTCCCCTGAGCATCATTCCTACCTACAGCATAAGATACTTAATTGGTCAGAGTTCAAAAATAATTGCACACTAATCATAGTACGCAAAAGAGATATCAGAAGGAAAACAGAATCTTTCACAGTAATCAGATTTCATTCATATTGGGTATGCCCCATATTTTTAGCTATAAAACCTATTATAGCTCCCTACTCCCTAAATAAAAAAAATTACAAAAGTAAACTGAAACAATAAACCTGCAATACATTTTATAATTACTGGAAGCTCCATGACGTATCTACTTCAGTTAATACTCCAAAGTAGTTGATTGTAGTAGAAGTAGAAATTATCTGTTAAAGATATCTGAACATTGCCTTATAGGCTTGTTCTGTTTAAGGAATTTAATTTAAAGTGTTTTAAGAACAGTTTACCCATGCAACAGAAAAGAAATTAAGAAATTCAAATCAAAAGAAAGAAAGACGGCTTTATACCTCTAACGGGGTTAAAGGGCATTTCCCATCCACACGATTTGCACCTGGCCTTATTACTCTACCCCTTCTCCTGAATTTTCCTCTCCAACCTCTTTCTCGAGCAATATCCATTTCACGTTTCTCTTCCTCCCCGCCATCATATTCACAGCAAGAAAACGCAACCATGTCCTTTGATAAAGAGAATAGCATTTAGAACTTAAGGAAAAACAGCTACTGAAGAACTCAGAAACTGTTCATTTAAAAGATGAACAAATATACACCTCTTCAAATCGAAGATGTACTGAAACATATTTTCCCCCGCTGTGGGAGCTACTTTTAATCATTCGATCAACCATTTTATCTGCAAGAATTCTTATAGAATTTGAGAACCTCAGTGCTTCGAAATTGGCTAAGCATCTAAGCCTTTGCACATTTGAAGGAACTGCATGAGCCAATCTGTTGGAAAAAGGTGCAATGCGCACAGCCCTGCAATATGGATTGAGAGAAACTATATATAGCTGTCACATACAATGTAATGCACGCCCATGTACATATATGTATATATATATATATATATATAGTGAGCTTCAGTTGAGGGATCCCTCAAATAAGCTTATTTGAGGGGCACCCTTGTAGGGCCCACTCCGTATTGTATTTCACTAATTCAAACCATCTATTTTGTAGATATTCATTCAAAGATCATCTCTACAAAAAATCACTTGAATCCGATATCAGTTGACCACTCAATTAAATTATTGAAATTTTAGTACGTTCTTAAAGCACGGTGTTTATTGATTTTGGACACAATTGGATGTCGAAACGGTTTCCGATTTGTCTAATTTTTTGCAAGGATGCTCTATGAATGTAAACTTAAAAAATAGATTGTTTGGATCGTTGAAAAAAAAATTGTAGGGGACCTTAAAGGTTGTCTCTCAAATTTTATATATATATATATATATATATATATATATATATATATATATATATATATATATAACAAATTGTAATTATAAATAAAACTATAGGTAAGATGCATACCCCATTTTCTCCAACTTTGGGAGGACCTTTTGAAGATAGTAAGCTGGACTTGACCAACCTTTCACTCTCAAATTCACAATGTTGCTTATATTATTGTCAAACCGCTCAAGTACATCATCTGGGAGCTCCCTAACCACATTCACGTGATTTCTGAGAGCATGAATGAAGAAATCTTCATCAAATATGTTCCCAAAGTGGCTGCAACAAGTTGAAAATAGAGTGGTCAATACCTTGCATTATCAAAACATGAACTTTTCAATATCATACTGTCACGCTTTATATATACTCTCAGTAGTGGCCAGCATTTTCCCCTTCAAAGTGGTCAAATTTTGAAGCTTAGGACCCGTTAGACAACCAT